GTAGAAAGCAGTTCAATCTAGGACTGATGGACAGAGGATGCTATCAGTGTGTTCTCCAGTTTTCACTCTGAACATGATCTCTTTGCTGATTGCCTGTTTGCACTAATTCCTCCTTTTATCTCCCTCCCAGTCTCCAACCCCCTCTCTTCCCTAGTCTTTCCATCTAGCTAATCCCGCCTCACTTAAAGAATTTAAAATAAACAAACAAACAAAAAATGCAGAACTAACAGGACGTTTACTGCTGTTGCACCGTTCCCTCTGCTTGTATGTTCTCTCTCTTTCCCCATATCTTTTTCTGTCTTCTCTATTTAGACTGTATGCTCTTCAAGGCAAGGACGGTCTTTTATAGTAGTCTGTACAGCATCTAGCATAATAGGGCATCATTTCTTGGGTGGCTCCTAGACACTATCATAATAAAAATGATAAATACATTATGCAACACTTCCTATTATCAGTGTTTGGGGTACTAGAGCTGACCTGGTTAGGAATGTCAATGTGTCCAAGTACCAGCTTTTTCATGGAGAGAAAAAGTCTATGAAACTAGGTAAGACCAGAACGGAGCATTAGATCTAGCCTGACCTCCTGTATTACACAGGCCGTTACCCCTGTATTGAGCCCAATAACTTGTGGTTGACTAAAGCATCTCTTCCAGGAAAGCATCCAGTCTTGATCTGAAGGCATCAAGAGAAGCAGAATCCCACCATTTTCTTGGTAGTTTGTTACCCTAGTTAATCACCTTCTTGATAAAAATGTGCCTAATTTCCAGTTTGAGTTTTTTGGGCTTCAGATAACTGCATGTGACCACAAGGAAATATTGGCTATGTATAGGGCTAAATCTGTAATGATAAAGCAGGGTGTGTGGTTTAGAATGTCACTTGGAGAGTCTGGCAAAGACTAGTTCAAAAGTAACTAGTGACCTGGGGTATCTCAGCTTCTGTGTTCCTAACTGGGGATACTTTAAAAGGACCTGATTTTCAGAGAGTGAGTGCTCAGCACTTTAAAAAAAAAAAAATCAGGTTGTCCCTTTATGCTCTTTCAGTCTGAAATCACTAGTCACTTCCGAAAATATTCTCCACAAAAGTTGTTGATAAAAAATAAAAATAAGCACACACACAATTGGACCCCAAAATAGAACTTAGGTTCCTGGAAGTTAAAATCCACTTCCAAGCACTTATTTCAATTCTAGCGAATTGCAGCAAGAGCTTGTACTGTTCCGACAGCCAGGGAGACAAATAAATACATCTATTTCAGTTTAATACTCTTGACCCTAAAGAAAAAAAATTCTCTCTCAAAACTTTGTCATACCATCGCTCTGACATCGAAAGGGCAAATTTTCTGAGTGACAGTTTAAGAATGGAAACATTCCACTACCCATAGATTATACAGTACCCACATTACATAACCTATTCTAACGAGCACTGCTATATCACTTTACCTCCATTCCCCCATGCTGGGCTGGTCACCAGGATAAAAATAAAATGACCAGAGCAGCAGTTTCTGTCACATGACATATATTGCCTTCTCCCCAGAAGGGAATTAATATTTTCTACTACCTTCTGAGGTAACTTGGAAGGTCCAGCAGGATTCTAACATCTAAAATCTTTTGTATTTTAAAGCCAACTATCTGAATAATTGGACAGGAATCTTGATTGCTCTATTGTATAACAACTAAGCTTGAATAACCTGTTTAGATAAAACAGGAACAGATCCATTGCCCAGAACTCAAACAGAAACTATCTATTATTGCAATAGCACCCCAAAGGTGAGAGTCAAGATCAAGGTCCCATTGTGCTAGGCAGGATGCTATATAAAAGTATGCATTCCCTCCCCAGAGGGCTTTGGTAATCTAGAAAGAAGGCACAGGAAGGTGGAGGAGAGGGATATGGGAGAATGTTTTCGAAAGCACCTAAATTACTTCGGAATCTAAGGGTCTGTCTGAACTGCAATAAGAAGAGATAAACCTAATCGCATCTTCCTAGACATTTCCTGATCTACTTACATATCTGGGGTTTTAGATGAGTAGTTTCTAGGTATGATACTGATGTTTTTTCATACCTGGCCCAAACTTCTCACAGCATAACTCTGCCCTGTCCCCTCTCTCTGGGAGAACAACCACAGACAGACAAAGGGGGAGTCTTGTTTCAATTTTAAAAAGTTCTAGTCTTCTCATTGGCTTTTTTGGCCAGGTGCCCACTCACTTCCTTTTACCTGTGCATTGCAGTGAGACTTTTTAACCCTTTACAGGCAGAGCAATTGGAGAACAGCTACTAAGAGGATTTTATAGCTACTGGCTGGCTGGGTTTCCATAAAAGGGAGCTAATCCCCACCCCGCTTCATTTATCACAGCTCCTCACTTGGGACTTGAATGCTTTTGAAAATGGGACTTGGTTAAAATTTCCAAAAGTACCTGAATCAATTCAATACAGTTTTTAATGTAATTTGCAAGGGCGCTTTTTCCTTCAGAAGGATAAAGAGTCCACTCTTGATATTTATCTCCCTGCCGCCATGAACTACCACTATCTGGCTGATTTCTTGCAGACACTGTAGCAAAGGCGAGCCTTGAGGAGGGACAGGGAGGATAGATGTGCTCTCATCTATGGTGTAGTTCAGGGAGGACATTCCATGCATACAAGGTAACATGAGAACATTCGTGAGGGAAGATGACAAATGGGCGACTGAGCTGGCACAGTTGATAAAGAAGAGGTGGCTGGAAGCAAAGCAATACGCAAGAACAGCTATTAATTTACATAGAGCCCAGCAAAACCTGAAGCCTGAACTCCCCAGGAGCCCCATTTGTTGTCCTGGAGAACTTCATTAGCTCTAGAGCAGTGAAGGGCAAACTACAGCCCGGGGGCCACTTCCAGCTCTCCAGATGTTTTAATCCGGCCCTTGAGCTCCCGCCAGGAAGTGGGGTCTGGGTCTTGCCCTGCTCTGGCACTCCAGCTGGGGAGCGGGGTCGGGGTCTTTCCCCACTCTGCACGGCTCCTAGAAGCAAGGGCATGTCCCCCCTCTGGCTCCTAAGCATAGGGATAGCCAGGGGACTCTGCACACTGCCCCTGCCCCAAGTGCTGCCCCCACAGCTCCCATTGGCCGGGAACCACAGCCAATGGGAGCTGCAGGGGCGGCGCCTGCAGACAAGGCAGTGCGCAGATCCACCTGGCTGAATGTCCTCATAGGAGCCGGAGGGGAGACATGCCGCTGTTTCTGGGAGCTATTTGAGGTAAGCACCACCCAGAGCCTACCCCCCTGATCCTCTCCCATGCCCCAGCCCTGATCCCCCTCCCACCCTTCGAACCCCTTGGTCCCAGCGCAGAGCACCATCCTGCACTCCCAACCCCTCATCCCTAGCCTCACCCCAGAGCCCGCACCCCCAGCTGGAGCTCTCCTGCCCTTCAACCCCCAATTTCAGGAGCATTCATGGCCTGCCATACAATTTCCATATGCAGATGTGGCCCTTGGGCCACAAAGTTTGCTTGCCCCTGCTCTAGAGACAAAGGTCTATGCTTTTAGAGTTGCAGGTCCTGGGCTCACCCCTCTGCTGATCACCGTATGTGTATGCGACCCTCAGTATTGCCAACCCCAAAAGTTCAAACTCATGTGTCAGACCTCAAAAAACACTGAGATTTTTGTAAAATGTGTTTTTTGAACTCCCCCTGCCCACCCTCAGGTTGTGTGCTTGAGAGGAGAATGGCACATGAAAAGGGTTTCAGAAGGAAGCAGGGCCGGTTCTAGGATTTTTGCCGCCCAAGGCAAAAACAATTTTGCCCCCCGCCCCGTTTTTTAATTACCCCACCCCCGGCCCCGCCTCAACTCCGCCCCTTCCCTGCCTCCTCCCCCCAGGCTCTCAAGCCTAGGAGGGAGGGGGAGAAGCGGCGCCCGCGCCGCGGCCGCTCGGGATCTCCCCCTCCCTCCCAGGTTTGAGAGCCTGGGAGGGAGGGGGAGACCCCGAGCGGCCGCGGCGCGCGAAACAGCTGGAGGGAAGGCGAGTAGCGGTGCGCGAGCGGCAGCAGCAGCGGAGGTGAGCTAGGGCGGCCGGGGCACATTTTTAGGGGCGGCATTCTGGCGCCGGCCATGCCGCCCCTAAAAATGTGCCGCCCCAAGCACCAGCTTGTTTTGCTGGTGCCTAGAGCCGGCCCTGGAAGGAAGATACACAATTTGGCTTTGGCTGTGTGACATGGAAGCTGATTGTAAGAAGGAATTGTCAGACAGAAAGAAAAAGATAGGGGCTGAAGTGTGGGATTGGGCAACGAGCCAAGTTAAGTCCACAAGTCCTGCCCATCACTCCCTCTGAAATACTGACTTGTAACTATTCTGTACCTGGGTGATAAGAAGACACTGAAGTATGGGCAGGCCCTGGCTTAGTCTTGTGCTAAGTATCGTCCAATGCCATCTCTAATTATAATTTCCTGCTTGTCCCATAGCCCCCACAGCACCCTTCTCCCTTTGCCCCTGCCCGTTCAGGTTGTTTGGGAGACTTTCTGACTCCTGTCCACATGGACTGGAAAGGTAGCAAGTGGAACTGATGCTCATCTTTCCAAGCAGGGAATGGTCCTTAAGGAATTGGATAGCTGCTGTGGGTATCAGTGCTGGAGCGAGACAGAACAGCTGATGAGGAAAATCTGTTTAACAAGCCAGGAGCTCCTCACCACATGCACACACTTGAGAGCCTGGAGCCCTGTGTGGCTGCCTGGGTCTAAGGCCACCTCTGCTCCTGTGGTCCATTATCTTGAAGGCATAAAGCCTACAAATACCTGTTAATTGCTTGTAACAAAGCCATGAGTAAACTCAGCATCAGGACCAAGAGGGGAATGGGAAGGTAAAAGAAGCCTTCTTGTTTATTATTACAGCCAACGTGCAGACGTCACATTACCTTACTCATGCTGTGACTGATCACAGACTATGACTAAATGGCAGGTTTAAGGTTTCGGGTCACATCAGGGAATAGTTTTACAAGCAGATATAAAGATTCTCCCCGGGGACTGGGTAGCACACAAGGTCAGAGTCAGCAAATCCTACGCTAAAAATAGATTCTAGTTTCAAAGTTGGTAAGATTTTCTGTGTCGTCCTGCCACACTTCATAAAGCCAAGCTACCTACAGCGCCTGCCTAAACTTACAGGTAAGCCTAACCAATATCCACTTTGAATTATGTTTCCTATGCTACCACTCCTCCTTTTAAAAACTAGCTCAGCAAGTCATGGCACGAATTGAGAGCTGGCAAATCTTCCAAGGTAACTGATGGCTTCATAAAATTGTTACAAAGCAAAGGCATGAAGAAGTTTAGAATCAAATTTTGGAAGAATATTGGGCCAGTTTCTCTTATAAATCCCAGTATGAAGAGACTTATAAAAGGAAAATTAACTAAAATAAATTTGTTTATGAAGCAAATCCCCTTTAAACCTGGGTTGAAATTAGATTAAAAAGATAGCAGAGAAAATCCAGCTTCAATTTTACAGGTTAATTTTTTTGACACATTACCCTAAAATCAGAAATCCCCCCACCTGAAAATGTTGTTCATTCTCTGATGATCCCTGCTCCACCAGCTTAAATCTGACTTTTCCAATTCAGTTACAGATTCTATTAAATGAGAATGTGGTTTTAAATTTCTTGGGCACTCGCAAGATATTCAATGGAGCCCCCAACTTAACCTGTTTTAAATTAACCAACAAAGAATGAGGGCAAAATGTATTTTTTTTAAAAAGGCATCAGAGGTTTAGAGATTCATTGAAATAGCTGGTTAGTTCGGAATGTACACAGCAGGAGGGTTTGGGAAATAATTACACAGAGGCTACAACTCTGTCTGGCTTGAAATTGTTTAAAGACAACTGCATTAAATGAACTATTTTACAGCCCCCAAATCCTCTAAACGTAAGGACATCTGGGTGATACAAAGAGGCTGAATGAAATGACCATTTCTGGTGAAGGTTGGAGGGGATAATAAATATGGATCATATTCTCAGGAGTTCCTTCATTTAATATAATGGGGGTATTTTAGGATTATTAGTTATGTATTTACAACCCTTGTCTGCATTCTTTCTGGGCTCCCAGCTGAAGTAGAGGAAACCAGTTTTTATAGGGGATTCAGAGGGGTAAAAAAGTTAAGGTTTCCCCCTCCCCCAGGATAGATTTTTACTAAATTCTAAATCTCAAATATATTTTCATCAGCTGTAAAAAAAAGAATCCAAACATATCCCTCAGTTCCTTGCCTAACTGCTGCAGGGCTCGGTAGGTGCCAGACTCACACAGGACGGCATAAAGCTCTGAGGATGTTGCTCAAGCAAAGTGTCATGAGGACGATATAACCAGGAGCAGGATTTTTCAGCCCTCAATACATTTAGGGAAATAACCTAACCCAAAGGGCTTTTCTTCTTGTAATTTATGTACTGTTAGCTCTTTGTGCCAAGTACAATCTTTGAACCTAGAAAGCAAAGCGCTGCTTACGTTCTCAGCCAAAAGTAGACAGTGCACTTCACAGAGTCTGTACGCTGAATTCTGAAATGACAGCTCTCTGCCATGTAACCACCCTCTGATTAGCAAAATGAGATGTAGTGACATTGATCAAAGAGGGTAAGTGCTTGTCTGCCCAGATCAGTAGTATGGAGTGGTAACATCTCAACTACTAGTACTGCCTGGAAAGGAAAGTACAGAACAATAGCCAGGAATTCAGGGAACATACTACACTACTGTTCACTATTTCTAAAGAAAGAAACTTGGCTTATTTAGGACCATGATTTTGTTTCCTGTTAGCATTCAGAGGGTACTAGTATGTAGACAGTCATACTGCTAAATTAGATCCAGATCTGTTGCATACTCTTGAGTACACGATAACTTGTCATTCTGATCACTTGATCTCAGATATTTCTCTCTCTCTCTCCACCCCCCTCCCTTTCTCTCTCATGCAGTGTTTGCAGCAATATTTTTTTTCTTTGTGTAGATCTTATGTTAAGTGGAGTTAAATAAGAAACCTCATGTTGCACATATATGGAGCTTGATAGGGCCAGGATTTCACTCAAAGTCAATGGCAAAACTTCAGTAGTGTTTAGTGGGGCAGGATATGCAATGAACAGGAAAAAAATCAGTATTCTAACCCTCTACAGAAGAAAGTACAGACATGAATGATTTATCGTAATGTTCATTTCATGCGTGGAAATGTTTCAACAAAACTCCTGGGTTTTCACTTTGTTTTCATCATTCAGCTTAAGTACAAACAGCAGTAAATAAATTCACACCCTGGAGTCTTGGAGTGAAATCTTGATTCCATTGAAGTCAATGGGAATTTTACCACTGATTTCAATGGGGACAGTCCATGGGCATTGTCCTGGCCATGAAGTCCACTAGGGACTTTGCAATTGCTATTTGATTTTACATGGAAGTCACCCAGACACTATGGTGATGGACAGCAATATAAAATCTTAATGGACAGATGGTGCCAGTCTGCTCTCCTGAATTGTTTTGCTGTTTTCTTTCCTTCCTACAGTGCTCTGAAGATCTTTACACACTCACACATATATACATACTAGGCATTGCCAGAGAAAAAATGGACTAATACTGAGGCTGCAGAATCCTAAGAAGTCAAGCCAACACTTTCACACATGGGTGAAGTAAGTTAGGCATCAGTATCCATATTTAAGCCCCTACATAAAAGTGGCCTGGCTATCAGAGATGCTGATCAATGAAACCTGCAGGTGCTTGGAATGTCTTAAAGCACAACTGCTTTTACTAGAAACAAAACAAGTTTTAACCCAAGCTAACACTGCAGTGAAGACAAGCCCTAAGTGTCTTCACTCATGCAAGTCAATGGGGCTATCTATGTGAGGAAGGTGAACAGGCTCTCATTTGGGGAAAGCCTGACTAGTTCGCTGTGGACCTTCCCCAACCTGGCTTCACTGACTGATTATTCCCACCCCTACACTGCACATGAACTAAAAGTCACATATCTAATCACTTGCTTTCTACTTGGAGACTTTGTAAAATAACTGTCAGCATGCCAGGCCTGGTCTCAGAAAGAGAAGGACCAGCTGGAACTAGGCAGATACCATTACTTGCCTAACCCCCTGTCATGTTTCTATAGCTTGACATTTAGTCACAGAGGGTGAAATTCACCTTATGCAGAGGGCTGGTACAAGGGCTAGGTACCACTTAACACCTCCCCAAGAGGGCTGAGTTTAGCCCATGGAGTATATTTGTGGGATAAGCCATTACACCTTGAAGAAGAGGTGCTCTAATCTTATCTCTGCACCACACTCCCTCATCGATCAATTCTTCCTAAAAATGTGCCAGGCTCCCCCTCCTTCAGCATGTAGCAAGGTGGAGGAAATAAAATAATGTACTATTAGCATGCATTATTTATATCACCGGAGCACCTAGCAGCCCTAGTCATGGACCTGTTCTACAAACACAGAACAAAAGGACAATCCTAATAATCAAAGTGCCTTACAAACAATCAAGTCTCCTAACACCCTTGTGAAGTTGGCAAGACGTAACTGCATTTTACAGCTATGAAAAGAGTCAGATAGCACAGCTGCCAGTAGCAAAACCAGAATTAGAACTCAGGGGTTTCTGGTTCACAGCCCTGTGCTCTGACCACTAGACCAAGAAACATTCTTCTTTATAGGCCACAAGCATCATGTGGGAGGTTCTGGTGTCCACTACATCTATGACATGTGACTGTAAAAGTCACCTGCCTTTACTGCTTTAAGCCAATGACTCTTTAACCTTTAGAAAACTGTTGCTAATAGAGACTGGAGCTGTGTCTACACAACAGGGTTATGCCACAGCACCTTAGCTATGCTGCTATAATCACTGTAGCATAGACATGGCCTAATTGGGGACATTGGCAGGAATTCTTGCTGTTTAGCCACGGACTGGGAAGCTGAAATGGCTGCATGCCTGTGGACCCTTAAAGAGAATAAGGAACTAGTCAGAATAGACAGGCAGATGGGAAAGAAGAATTCTTTGCAGCTAGGGAGGCAGTGTGGGGTAGTAGATAAAGCATTGGAATATGAGTCAGGAGATTTGGTACTATTTTTGGCTCTGCCACTGAACTGCTGTGTGATCATAAGTAACTCATTTCCCCTCTCCATGCCTCAGTTTCCCTCCCGCCTTTTGTCTTGTTAGATTTTAAATTTCTTTGGGGCAGTGATCATCTCTCACTGTGTGTTTGTACAACACCTAGCACAATGGGTCCCTGGTCTCAGCTGGGGCCTCTAGACTCTTTCACACAGATAATACAGGCAGAACTGGCAACAAGAGATGTGTCAGACTTGGGTAGTCTTGAGAGGGCTTTGTAGCTATCTAAGGGCAAAGAAGAGGAATCAGCTGCACAGGGACAGGGTTGGTTGAGGTTCCTGCAGGGAGCAGAGGACACATTCTCTTTTTTCCTTGCATCGGTCCTTTTCTCTCTACAATAGACGTCTGGACATAAATCTCACTGAGCAAGTTGTCTGGTGGCTTGGCATGCAGCAGTAAGATTTATACAGCATGTCAAGCCAAAATATTTAGAAACAATAATACTTTGGTTTTTACAGAATGTCTTGTATCCATGGATCTCACAGTGCTTTAGAAACGTTCAGCAGGGCACATAAAACAAGGGTGGGGTATCTACATGTCATTACTGGAGATCACAAAACTACAACTTTCGCATGCAGATCTGAGCTCCAGAGTTCGGGGATGTTTTGCTCCCCTTTATACATGGGACAACTGACACGCACAGAGGTTAAGGGTATCATTTCCAAGAAAGGACCCTAATTTTGGGACACCCATGACCTATTTTCAGAAGTGCTGAGCACCCACAACTCAGTTGGAGCTGCACCTGCTCAGCACCTCTGAAAATCAGCCCACGGGTGTCTCAAATTGGATGCCCAAAGTGAATACCCAGAGTGGACACTTGTGGAAATTTTGGCCTTTGGGACTAGCCCAAGGCCACACAAGTGAGCCAGGTGCAGACACAAGACTATATTTTCTGACTCCCACTGGACAACGCTCCTTCTCTGAAACAAACACCAGACAGCCCAGCTCTAACAATACTGCAGACTTCCCTTCAACAACAACACCAGAAGATAAACCACAAACAATTCCATTTGGCAACTGTGGAGTGGATAGTGAGCATAAAGAAGAGAT